TCCAAACAAAAATTTGATTGTAAAAGCTTTACACTTAAAAGACATTGAATTTCAACAAAGATGAACAAACAAGTTAGTAGCACAAGAAATTCAATATATGCAAGTCTAATATACTTTATGCAATACCAATTGTAGTATTTAAGTGCATGTGCATAAAACTATCCAAAAATGTTATGCATTTTAAAAAAAAATTTGATATCAATTGTTAGAGAGATAACATTTGCAATTAAAATCATATATATAAGCATTTAAGTTAAAGGTCAAAAACAAATTGTGAAACAAAATATTAAAACCAAATTTTAACCAAAAATCATTATGATGAACTAAAAATTATGAAAAATTGTTAAAACTTTAAAATGGTCATCATAATACACTTTTCAACATACATGAGATGAGAAATAATACATAATCATTTAAGATCAAAATTCATGCATGCTTAAAACAAATAGGCAACCAATTATATAAAAATTAATAATATTAAGCTTAGAGGTTACCCATTCCTTTTCAAGTGTGGCCAGAGCATCTCAATTTCTTCACTTTGTCACCATTGCTCTCACACACATACAAGAGATATTTATATGGATTTTGGTATCCAAATTGCTTTGGATCCTTGAACATTAGTTTCAATGTCCATTGTTCCTTTTGGAACCCATACTTATTTAATTTTATAACATTTTCCTCTCTTTGAAGGACAAATATGTTCCAAATGACCATGAAAATGGCAATGTGAGCATTTTGTTATTTTTAAACATAATGAGTTGTTTTTAGAAAGTAATTCTTTTTCTTTTGTTAAGTTTTCAAGCTTAACTTTTAAATCAAAATTTTCTTTTTCTAAATCATTGATTTTGATTTTTGAAAGCTCTAAATCATTTTTCAAAGTTTTATTTTGTTTTTCAAAATCAACTTTTGATTTCAAAATCAAATCATTTTTAACTTTAAATTTTGAAATTAATTTCTTATATTTGGAATTCATGGTCTCAAATTCCAAATACAACTCATCATAGACATCTTGTAAATCTTTAAATGAATAAGAATTTGAATCAAAAGAGTTAGAAGTTACCGTTGAATCTTCTTGAATGGCCATGAGACAAATGTTGGCTACTTCATCATCAGAGTCTTCTTCATCACTCCAAGACGCCACAAATGCCTTCTTTTTTCTTGATCCCTTATTCTTTAAGAGATGACATTCATACTTGACATGTCCCGTCCTTTGGCACTCAAAGCATACCGGTGGACCTTTCTTCTTGCTCGATTCATGCTTCTTGTCTTCTTTGGATGTCATGAATCGTTGGAATTTCTTGAAGAACTTGGCCATTTCTTCTTCTTCATCCTCTTCTTCGCTTGAGGTGATTTCATCTTGAATAGAGGATTTCAATGCAACACATTTTTCTTTCTTTTCTTGTTTTTTATTTTCTTCTTGTTCTTCCTCATTTTTTATCATCTCATGAGTGAGAATAGAGCCAATAAGTTCATTAAGCGATAGAGTTTTTAAGTTATTCGCTTCAATGATCACTGACTTCTTCAATTACCAAGATTTGGAAGACAATATATCATTTTCCTAACAAACTTCTCGTTAGGGATCATCTCTCCATATCTCTTAAGACCATTGACAATCTCGTAGTTATGATTGAGAAGACTGATTTTTGTTTCCCTCTCTTCATTGGTTCCTTCATGAGTGACTTGGAGCTTATCTCAAATCTCTTTGGCATTTGAACAAAAAGAGGCTCTTCCATATTCATCTGGGCCTAATGTACAAAACAAAATGTGCATGGATTAACATTGAGTTGGAAATCTTTCTTCTCTCTTTCACTCCATTCTGCCATAAATCTAGTTGGAGTAGAGTGCCCCGTCAAGATAGAGCTCCAAGCATCAAAATCGGTAGCTTGAATGAAGAACATCATCATATTCTTCCAATAAGCATAATTTGCTCCATTGAAATAGGGTGGTTTGTAAACCGATTGAAAATCTTTAATGTTGTAAGCACCGAAGGAAAAATACATCTTCTCGGTTGCTTTAAGAAATTGATAGTAACCTTCAAGGATCTTCACAAGGTTGTTAAACCTTCGATTTGTGACCCGCTCTAATACCAATTGTTAGGTTCGATGAAGTTCGATTGATCAACCAAAAATATGACAAGAGGGGGTGAATTGGAAATTTAAATTTTAGGGAGTAAGAAGTATACAGATATGAAAATTTGCTCAATGATTTATAGTGGTTCAACTCCCTAAATGAAGTCTACATCCACTACCTAAGCTCCTCACTTAGGAGTTTCCAATAAATCCACTAATTTGTTCTTTCTTTTTCAAGGATAAAGAGATAACCTTTACAAACTCCCTAGCTTTTCAAATGCTTAGCTAGAACCAAAACCTCTTTATAAAGAAAAAGAATTGTAAACAATAAAACCTCTAAGAACGAAGGTGTTTACAAATTAAAGCTCACAAAAACATAAATATTTATAAGAGAAAGAGAAATAAAGAATGAAAAACTTTTTCTCTTGTGTTTGATTGATTGGATAGGTATTAGTCACATTCTTCAAGTGTCTTGAACTTGTTTTTATGTGTTGGAATGAATTACTAGTTGTTTCTAGTCGTTTGAGAAGGTTTGGAGCCATTGAATGACTTTTTGCACACAAAGTTTCAAAACTCTAGGGAAAGTTTTGAAACTCTTTGAAAGAGCCGTTGGAAAAGTATGACCATTGGATCCAAAGTATCAAACTTTAATGAAAGTTTCGAAACTCTTGAGATAGTTTCGAACTATTAAAAAGTATCGAAACTTTTTAGGAAACTATCTTGGAGAGTTTCGAAACTCTTGTAGAAGTTTTGAAACTTCTGGTCAAAATACTCATTTTAAGGTTCTGATTGGACTTTGAATTATTTTGATGAAAACTTTGAATAAATTCAATGTAGTCCAAAAATATTTTGCCTTTATTTGTTATATCAAAATATTAGTTCTACAGATGAGATAGATCGTGAGCTACTAAATATTAACTCAGTCAAAGCTCAATAAATACTCGACTCAAATGGACTCGACTCCGCAACGATACTCGACTCAAAAAGCTCACGAGCAACTCGAAAATATAATATATTAATATTTTATTTTTTTTAAATAAATTATTAATAATATTAACATTTATGTGTTAATTTAAAAAAATATAGTACAAGATTTCCATTTATTTAAGGTTCATCAGGTTCGAGTTTGAGTCTTCAGTTGAGTCAAGTTTAAGATTATTTTTTCATTTCGAGTTTTTACGAACTTCAATTCATAGTTTCGAGTTCGAGTCGTGCTTGTAAATTTTAGGCTCGTGAGTTTTCGAGTGAGTTGAGCACCATTTTAAAGTTTTTGAGTTGAATAGAACTCAATACTCAAACCCTAATTGCTACCTTTTTTTTATCTTTTCTCAGACCTATTCATTACTCTCACAACTGTATTGGGAATAGATTAAATTAACAAATTTTCTATCGTTTTTTTAATAAATTTTGGGATTTTTATTCAAATATTACCCTAATAAACTATTTACTTACACTTATTTTTATTAATTTTAAAAATATCATATTTTTATTGATAAGATATAACGATTAGAATTTTTAAATCAATGTATGAGAATTGATTCAATATATTTATAAATCGTATTAGTAGCAAATTAAATCTATTAGATAAAATATGAGCCAAATCGAGAAAATTAAACTCAATTGACACTATTTTTTTTATTTAAAATTAGATAAAGAATGATTAAAGGAAGGTCCCCTCATGAACAAGAAGAGTTGTCAATACGGGGTGCATCAGCATGACACCAAAGCGTTAAGTGAAAGCAATACTGAATCAACTTCCACCAAGCATTTTCGTCCAATACTCTTTCTTTTTAATTGTCTGTTGCATGTGCATCACAACTTTGTTAACGTACAAAGCAAATCTTAAACCCCTTTCCCCCCATTGATGATCGGACGGTGGCTTTAAAAAAGGGGGACACGTGTTAGCGTAAGATGATAAAAGGGAAAATGCCACTTGAAGGAAGAAAGGCCCAGGTAACACCCTTGCTTCAGCTGAAAGCGTTCGATTTACAACCACATTGATTGGTCTTCACTTCACTTGAAACTTCGAACACCCCTCCTTCATTGTTTGTTATCAAAGATAACAAGATTAATTTTTCCTCCTCCACTTGCACTTCTCTGCTTAATGTTCCACGGGCGCCGTGAGGGGAAAACAGGAAGACAAAATACAATATATTCTGAACCGTAATTTTGCCAAAAAGAATCAAAATCATCAATCCAAGGCATGAAATGGTCCAATTCACCGGGCCAGAAGGGACAATGTGGGCTATTATCTGATGGGGCTTCAAAGGACACGTGGGGACAATGATTCTAATTTCTCTGCCCCACGCCCATAAAGATCAGGTGGGGAAAAACATTCATGTGTCACAATTAGACACACACAAATCTACTACATAAGGTTTTATTTGATAATCCACACTGCTTTTAGAACCTTTCCCCCATATGATTATTATTCCATTAAGTTCAAAGAACTAATCACGGAATGAAATAAGATAGATTATAAGTTACTCAAGTTTAATTGAGTTAAAATTTGATTTTAAAGATTTCATATTCAAGTACGAATGACATTCGTAGGTGTAGAATATATAGATTATTTAATGATTAAGAAAATTTTGAATGTTTTAATTCTTTGTTTGAATTTCGAGTCAAACTTAATAATTATAAACTCAAACTTTTCAAAAGTTTAGCTTAATTTTAAATTTTTAAAGTTCTAACTCATAAAAAAATTTACACGAAATTGATAATACGTTAGTTATTAATGTTAAATCAACAAACATAAAATTCTTTTTTATCACCTCAATTATACAATGAAAATCATTAAAGTTTAAGTATCATGGTCTATTTACCAAGAACTAACTTAGATAATCAAAATATGAAACTAATGGTAGATTAAAGGACTAAAACCATAATTACACCAAAATTGAAAAAATAGAGAAGGGGAGGGAGGTAGTAAGTAAAAGCCTGAACAGTAGGGTAAACGCACAACTCAAGTGCTTCAACATCCAGACATTGCAGTAATTTATTACACAAATCAAGGAATTACAGGGCTCTTACAAGCGGTTAAAGATTTCTGGTCAGCACCTTGGCAAAAAAAGAACCGCAACGGACACCTAATCAAGCAGTTATCGGCAAGGCTCACGTTTGCAGTGCCCGGTTTGAGTACCAGTAAAGCTCTCGGAATCGGTCCGAACAAGTAGTTTCCGCCGAGCAAAAGCCTAACAAACGGGGCAATACCGGGTCCGGGCACAACCGTCTTCAACGCGTACTGGACCGGGATAAAACCCGACAGCTTATTGTTCTCCAAGGATAAAGCTGACAGATTTGGCATTAATGGCAGAAACGGAGGTAACCAACCTTGAAGCTCGTTATTGCTCAAATCGACGGCAATTAGCACACTTTGGGTGCCTAAATTTGAAGGATATTGTACTGATGTGAAGGCATTGAATGCCAGAGTGAGTTGTTGCAGTGATGGGTGGTTAAACAGGAAGTAAGGGACTGAGTCGGTGAGTTTGTTGTGACTCAAGTCTAGTACTTGAAGAAAGCTCAAATATTGGAGACTCTGAGGGATTGTACCTTCAATCGTGTTGTTCCTCATGGAGATTTGGATCAAGGAAGGTGGCAGAGTTGTGGGCAGATACCCAGAGATGGCATTGTTACTTGCATCGAGAAAATATAAGTTTTCCAGTGAGCCCAACTCGGGTAACTCGCCAGAGAGGTGGTTCGATTGGATTTCGAGTCTTTTCAAGCTCACGAGACCATTGAAGCTTGTAGGAATAGGGCCGTGCAGGTTGTTGTTATCGAGGTAAAGCTCTTCAAGGCTAGAGAAAGACCCAATCGCCGACGGTATCTCTCCGGAGAGTGTGTTCCTCGAAAGACCCAGCCGAGTTAACCGAGTCAGGTTGGCGAGTGACACCGGAATCGACCCAGAGAAGAAATTGTTGGAGAGGTCGAGAATTTGCAAGTAAGGGAGATTCCAGGAAGCAGATGAGAGTGAAGCAGCGTAACCAGCTGAATCAAGGGTAACTTCCGTGACCCGGCTTAACCCAGAAACCGTAAGGTCGCACCTGAAACCACATGTGAATCGTTCACTGAAGAGGCTGTCACATGGATCAACGGTGAAATCCCAGGAACTCAAGCAAGAACCCGGACTCACCGAGTTAGGGTCGATTCCATTTTTGAGCTGCTTCAACACCTCTGCATCGCCCCAGTAAGTCTTGGATTCAGCTCCTGGTAAAACCCAAGTGCCAACAACAAAAACCAACACAAAAGCTGAAGATATGGAGAATTCCAAAGCAGCCATTATAGAATTTAGAGGGTAAGTGAAGGAAAGTGAGATAGTTGATAAACAAAAAAGAGCTTAAAAATCCAAGCTTTGGGGGTTAAGAGAATACAGAGAAGTTTCGAGTGGATGGGAAATTGAGAATTGAGTAATTGTCATTTGTCAGAGTGGTGTATTTAAAATTGGATCCATTAGAATGTTTCTTTTTCTTCTTTGGTATCAAAAATAAAAAGTGGGGGAAGGTAGCTTTCATGTTTCGTTGTAAAATCGACACCTTGATTCATTATAATAGTGACGTTTGGTGGCAGATTTGAGCTGTCCTGTTAGTTCTATCTTCGTATCATTATTCATCGTTTCCTTTTCTTTTTCTATTTTTTTAGTAATTATCTTATAAAGGATGTTGATGGAAGAAATTAAGAAAATGAAATATAGATTTGCGTTAGATTACTACACCTTGGAAATTGATTGTCAAAGGTATGGACAGATCTCTCTGCTGCATCCATTCATAGCAACATACACGGTAATAAATAGATAAAATAGTAAATTATAGGATTAGTCACTTTGTCTAATATTTGTATATTTTTCTTTATTATATATAAAAATTAATATTTGACTATTTTCATTTTTTTCTTTTGTTAAGATATAGACACTAAAAATTAATTGTTGCTAAACCATTAATAAATTATTGATTTGACACAATAAATAAATAAATAAATAAATAAAATAGTTTATTTCTACGTATGCAAGGAAATTCTATGGATTACTAAAATGATTGTAATAGGCTTGTCGCAACTGGTATCCATGGTGTCACAAACTAGTAATAAAAATGATAAGAAATAGGGATTTTAGAAGAGAAGAAAGATTGAAGAATAAATTCATTCAAAATTATTATCATAAGTTCTCAGCTATAGAATTGATGCATATATATTCTATTACACTAATAACAACCAATTATTTGTTTATAGGTGTCAAGACTCTTGTCTGGTAGCATAACAGATTACTCCTTGGCTGGATTCCCTCCAACAGCATTCTCAGTGAGCTTCGTAAGTGGGTTATCCTCTTGTCTGGTGAGTCCTTCAGCTGCCTCACCAATCTGGGCCTCTCTATTGGGATGCTCCATAATTCTTTCCCCAACATTAATATCAGGTAATTCCTTAACCCTAATTTTCTTTTCACCGACCCTTTTCCTTTTTTCCCAATTCATCTCCCTAACTTCTGATTTTCCAAATTTCCCAATTCAATGAGCCCTAACTCCAATTATTCCCCGAACACTCTCTCTATTTCGCCTTCATCCATGGCAATACCTCCCCCTTCAGATGATCCTTGTCCCCAAGGATCAAAATCTAGAAATTGGGCGCGCAACACAATGTAGTCTTCCTACGTTTCATCTTCCTTCTCCAAATTTGTCCATTGAATTAGGAGTTGTGTAACTGCCTGGTTATTTCGTTTCACTATCCTTTTGTTTAACACACCAGCTGGGTATACCTTCAAGTGGCCATCAACATCAATCTCAGGTGGATCGAGTGAGGTAATCATCTGCTCACCCACTTTCTTTTTTAAAAGGCTTACATGGAAAACAAGGTGTAGTTTTGAATGGTAAGGCAATTTGATTTAAAAGCTATTGATCTCACTCGTTGAATCACTATATAGGGACAAAAAAACGAGCAACAAGTTTTAAGTTCTTTCGAAGTGCCATAGATGTTTGTTGGTATGGTTGTAGCTTAAGATAAACACGATCTCCTACCTGAAACTCTTTATTTGTGCACTTTTTATCTGTACAAGCTTTCATTTGCACCTGAGCTTTCTGTAGTTGATCTTGTAGAAGTTTGTTCATGGCATTTTTCTGATCTAACAACTCTTGTACTGTATGGACCATAGACTGACCACCCCAAGATAGAACTTGAGGTTTATACCTATACATAACCTCGAAAGGAGATATACCTAAAGTAGTATGAAAGTTGGTGTTGTACCACCACTCTACTTGTGGTAACCAGTCGACCAATGTAGTAGGTTTAAGAAAACACATGCTCCTTAGATATTGTTCCACACACTGATTTACTTGTTTGGTTTGACCATCCGTTTCAGGATGATAGGCAGTGCTAAAGTGAGTTTCAGTGCCCATTTGCTTCATAAATTCTTTCCAAAAAATACTTGTAAATAACTTGTCCCTGTCTGACACAATAGACTTGGGATGACCATGTAGTTTTTATACCTGAGCCAAATAAAGCTTGGCCAAAGCAGTTAATGTATAAGGATGTTTCAAAGAAATGAAATGAGCATATTTTGTAAACCCATATGCAATTAAATTTCTTTGAAAGATGTAATCCTTCAATGAAATCCGTAGAAATCATTTCCCAAGCCTCGTGGGGAATTAGTAGTGGTTGTAGGAGACCAACCTTGTGAGAATGTTCAATTTTGGCCATCTGGCATACTTCATACTGACTAATAAATTCCTTGATCTGCTTATTTAATCAGGGCCAGTAAAAATAGAGTTGAACTCTATAATTGTAGCATGTATTCCAAAATGCCCTTCTAAAGGGGATGCATACAAAATGGACAAAATTTGTTGCCTCAACCCTCCAGTACTGCCCACATAAACTTTCTTGTTGATCTTCAAAATTCCTTGAGTAAAAGTCCACTGGCTCTGTGTATCTGATGACACTCAATTCTGTAATTTTTTCTTTTGCAAAGTCATCATATGCATAACTCTTTTCAAGGTCCTACACCTACTGTGGAACAATAGCTATGACAGTTAACTGTTGTAATTCAACTTCAGATTGTTTGGACAATGCATTAGCAGCCAAATTACTTCTTCATTTTCTGTAAAGGATTTTATAATCTAATCCCAAAAGTTTATTAAGTCCATTCTTTTGAATTGAAGTAGTTAATCTTTGCTCCAAGAGGTATTTAGCTACGGTCATAAGAATAACTAGATACTCTCATTCATACACAGATAGATCAGTATGTTTAGGACTTAGAGCCTTACTCAAATAAGCTATTGGGTGCCCATCTTGAGAGAAAACATCCCCTATACCCGTAGAACTCGCATATGTTTCCAAGCAGAATAATTTGGTAAAATTTGGCAAAGCAAGAACATGTGCTTGGCACATGGCTGATTTAAGAGTTTCAAAAGCTTCCTAGACTCATGTGTCCAAGTAAAATTGTTCTTTTTTAAAATGTCAGTCAGTGGTCTACTGATCATCTTATAGTTTCTTATAAACTTCCTGTAGTAGCATGTGAGACCTAGAAATCCTCGAAAAGACTTCAAATTGGTAGACAATTTCCAATCTCTCATAGCTACAATCTTTGTTGAGTCAGTAGCTACACCCTGAGCTGAAATTATATTGTCCAAATATTCCACCTGAGTTTTCCCAAAAAAAACATTTACTTCTCTTAGCAAATAAGTCATACTTCCTCAAAATGTTCAAAACTGTCTTTATATGTGCTTTGTGATCTGTCATAGACTTGCTATAAATAAGAATGTCGTAAAAAAACACCAGAATAAATTTCCTCAAATATGGTCCAAAGGCTTCATTCATAAGTGTTTGAAAAGTAGCTTGAGCATTTGTCAATCCAAGCGGCATGACTTCATTCAAATGTGATCTGAGGTCAATTTTAGAAAAATACTGAGAACCAACCAATTCATCCAAAAGATCCTCTACCATCAAAATTGGAAATTTGTTTTTGATATTCATTGAATTCAACTGTCTATAATCAACATAAAACCTCCATGAACCATCTTTCTTTTTAACCAACAAGCAAGGAGAGGCAAAATGACTCTTGCTTGTTTGTATAATGGAAGAGGCTAACATCTCATTCATCTTTCTTTCAACTTCTGCCTTTTGAGGATGGAGGAATCTGTATGGGCATAGGTTGACAGGCTGAGCACCTTCTTTAAGGATAATGGCATGATCTTGGCATCTCTCAGGTGGTATACCTTTGGGTTCAACAAATACATATGTATAATTTTGTAGTATTGGTTGCAACTCTGTTGGAATGGAAAATCGATCATCTTCAATAATCATTAAGTATAATTCACCAGCAAAAGCAACATTTTTAGCAATCATTCTATACAATCTATTCTCAGAAAGTAACTTAATAGTTGGTAGCCTTTTCTCTCCTTGTAATAGAATTTTTTGTCCATCATTCTTAAAAATCAATGTCAAATTATTAAAATCCATCAAAATAGGACTTCACTTATGTATCTAGTCAACTCTTAGAACCATGTCACTACCTCCTAGTTGTAAGACTCTGAAGTCATGTTCAAATAGGTGTTCCTGCATTTTCCATTGAAGTTGTTTACTTGTGAGAGTGTTGTAAAGTTTATCCCCATTTGCTACAATGATGGAAATAGGTCTAGTTGAAAGAACCTCTACCCCTTCTTTAGTCCAACTAGCAGTTACAAAACTATTGGTGCTACCACTATCAATCAAGATATTTAATGGTCTCCCTTTTACAGTACCATGATTGTGTAAAGTAGCAAAGCTAGCCTGACCAGTTAAAGCATTAATAGAAATCTCTAAGTCCTTGTCTCCTGGAATTTGAGCAATATATTCTAATGATTCTGCCTGTTGCTCAGTCACCTTATCCACATTTTCCAAGAATTCCTCTTCTTCCATACAATTTAATTGATTCAGTTTATATTGGTGTCCCAGAGTAAACTTCTCTCCACATTTAAAACAAAGGTTATTTGCCCTCCTATAATCCAGAAGACTATGTTTAGTATTCGTAGGAGGAGTATTAGACTTTGGCAGATTTGATGAAGGAAAATTCTTTATCATGGAATTCTGGTTAGAACTATAGAAATTCCTAACAGGAGTTCTGAACGTTTTACTTTCAATTTCAACAGCAAGTTCATGAAGTTTAACTTGTTTAAATGTGGCCACCAAAGACTTAGGTTCATGTGCTCGAACTCTATGCTTCAATTCATCCTTTAATCCATTGATGAAGCTAGAAATGAAAAACTTTTCCCCAATGTGGGGATTTTTTTTGTATGATGAAAGACATCAGTTCATCAAAACGTTCCTGATATTCTTTAACACTACCTTTCTGAAGAAATTTATTAAATTCATCCACAACATCAATAAATGTGCTACTGCCAAACCCGTGACACAAATCAACCTCAAATCAACCTCAAACTCATGCTAAATAACCTTAGGTTTGTGCATAAGATACCCATCAAACCATATTTATGCTTTCATTATTAAATACATAGAAGCTATTTCAACTTGTTGAGGTTCAGGAATAGCAAAAATTCTGAAATACTTTTAACATTTTTGCAGCCAACTTCTAGGATTTGAACTATCAAAGAACTGAAGTTTAATCCTCGGTCTAGAAAATGAAATAGAAGCCCCAACATTAGTAGGAACATCACTGGAATGCTCTCCTGATTCATCTCCAGCATTATTCAGTCACAAAGATTGAATAATTGGCAGGGTAGGTTCATATGACTTAACAATAGGCTTAGATGTCAAAATACATGGTTCTCCATATTTAAAAGAATATATTTCATGCTCATTAATCACAGTAACTTCAAAAGGTTTCTTACATACTGATTTTGATGCAGGTGGATCAGCTTCCTTTTTGTTACTTGTTGGAGTCAGCTGATTGCCTTCCTCTGCGGTTTTGGCTATTATCTAAAGAATCTGCTGAAGATATCCTATATTCTCTATAGACTGAGCTTCTAAGGTAGATAAACGTTCCTCCCAGTTATCTCTTTGAGTTTCCCACCACCTCGATACTTCTTCCGGTGCATCTTTAGGTATATTTTCTATTGCATCGATCGAATTGGTTTTATCCATTTTTGTAACTTTTTTAGGCATTCCTAAAAAAATTTCTCGCTTTTGGATCAAATAACCTGACTCTGATACCAATTGTCACAAACTAGTGATGAAAACGATAGAAAATAGGGATTTTAGAAGATAAGAAAAATTGAAGAAGAAGAAATTCATTCAAAACTATTATCATAAGTTCTTGGTTACAAAATTGATGCATATATATTCTATTGCACTAATAACAACCAATTATTTGTTTACAGGTGTAAAGACTATTGTCTGACAGCATAAAAGATTACTCATTGGCTGGATTAATTCCAACAACATTTCGTAAGTGGGTTATCCTCTTGTCTGGTGAGTCCTTCAGCTGCCTCACCAATTCGGGCCTCTCTTTGGCTGCTCCATAATTCTTTCCCCAACATTAATATCAGGTAATTCCTTAACCCCAATTTTCTTTTCACCGATCATTTCCTTTTTTTCCCAATTCATCTCATTCCCAATCCCTAACTTCTGATTTTCCAAATTTCCCAATTCAGTGAGCCCTAACTCCAATTCTTCCCCGAATGCTCTCTCTATTTCGCCTTCATCCATGACACATGGATTGTTATAGAACCCTAGTACAGTAGGAGACATTTTTTCATGTAGGCATCTAATTTGATCGACAGAAAACCTAAACTATATTTCTCTATCGCACTTTCTCCCTAAAACTTTTACCTATAACCACTTCTATCATGACAAGTTTCAGTTGACATGAGTCATACTTTCCCTCGAAAGGGGGGTAAAAGATGGGAATCGGTTTCGAATTGTAGCGTATAACACACAACACCGCACAACCGTCTATGAACAACAACCATGCTAGCTTTTCATCATCGTAGTGTTTAATTTCATTTGGCTAATAATAGTTTGAAGATGTGATTAGCATATAATGATAGTTTGAAGATGAATTTAGAATATTTAAATGTTCAAAGATTAATTTAAAATGTCATTCATAGTTTAGGATGAAATTAAAAAGTTGAAAAGTTTGGAAACTAATTTAAAATAAGACTTATAATTTAAAAACTAATTATTATGTTAAATTTTTTTTGAAAATTAGTTTAAAATGAAGATCATAATTTAAGAATGTATACCACAATTAATGTTAAATATTTTATTGAAATACTTTGGAATGAGACCCTTGTTATTTTGGTCTTAATATTTGAAGTATACCTTATCTGGGAATCTTGGCATTGCTTGGTTTGGTAGAGGGAGTTAAAGTTGGTGGTTGTTGAATTATGGAAATTGATTACAGATAAGGAAGACTTCAAATTTCAACAAAGGTCCATTGGGAAAAAAAAGGGTTCCCATTCCCCAAAATATGTACATTCTTATCTCAGTAAGTATACCCAACACATAATTGCTGTTTAACGAATCCCTAAACCTTGCTTTTCAACACCATCTTTACATTCTTAATTTTGGTTCCCATTTTTTTAACATCCATTGCTACTATTGTCACTGTCAAGAAACCTGGTGCCTGCTGTTCCCATTTTCCTTACTTTTGAAGGGGCTGATAAGTAATTATGCAGCATCCAAAATGGGAACAAGAATGAAATTCGTGATTCAGGATGGTGGTTAAACAATGTAATCTGCTGTGAAGAATGAAATTTGTGTTCAACTTGAACGTTTCTTCTGTTACTGTTCATATTTATTCACAAGGAAGTGCGCATGATTTTATGTCAAGGATGAACTTAAACTTATAAAAATTTAGAGGACGAACCTAAACTTATAAAATTCCAAGGAGACAAAAATAGTTTTTCAATAAAAAATACAAATATAAAATATATGATAATTTTAAATTTTCAGGGTGACGATTGTCCCTATCTGTTTCTCCTTGATCCATCCTTATTTCTACATAAGACGTTTTCTTTTTCTTTTACGGAGGGGAATGTGGAACTTGTTAACGGAAGAAGGGCTTGTGACATGATCATTATAGGATGCTTTGTCCATTCTAATGGTTTTCTCCATCATTTTACTTTAGATAGTGCAATTGCTATGAGTATTGTTTTAGTTCATTTTAAATTGTTTGTTACTTGGGAATCAAATTATGAGCTCATAGTTCCAAATTCCAGTTTAGTCTTAGGCTTATAATAAAAGGCATCCAACTGGCACAGCCTTGTAACTCAACGGTGCTTTAAATACATTTCTTTTCTCTGATAGTTTGACTTTCTAAGCATTCCTCCGTGGCAGTTATCCTTTTAGATGCACTTTAAGAAAGTCTTTAAGAACATTTGTTGGGAGCAGAATATGATTATTTGTTGATTGATTCTTTTGAAACATTTGGATCTCCGAACTCATCGAATTACCTCGGTGATAAAAGAGAGTGATAATATTCTCCCTAAAATTCTCGGTTTCGAACACTTAAATCTATAGGATATATATACGTTGTCAATGACAAAAAGATTCTTAACATATATTACTTTATAAACACCACTAACTATTAAAAAGAACATTTGAATCTCTATCATAAACTGATTTTGATGTTATTTATAAATTAATAGAATAATCATAACCATTTTCACAAATCTCATCAGTATTTCAATTTAACAAGTTATCCGTAACTGTCACGGTTAGCTCACTCTCAGATCAATGACATATGCCTTGACCTTGTACGCCTAAGCTAATGACCAAAAATATTCATGTCAATTGTCAAATAGCCATACAAGTATTCCTATAAAACTATAACAAGCTTGTTTATCCCAATGAATGGCAACTGCTGCATGTTTTGCTTTCCATCACGCTGGCCTTAAACTGCAGGATACAGAGGCATCTTGAGGATGATCATGGATGCATACACAGTTGTTTCGTTTTATCTTCGCCCCTCCTTTTACAATTGAGAAATCAACTAATATTTTCATTAGGTCAACAAGTGTGTACACATATCCTTGTATAAAAACAGTACATCCAGTCATTAACGGCTAAGCCCTGAAGACTTTTAATTATACAAATTGAATTTGCAGAAGAGGAAGGTAGGGTGGTTTCGTGAGAAAATCTCCCTATTCATGCAATACCTTCTTCGGCTCTTCCGACCAGTCGAACACTGTTTTGTTTTCTTGGTTTTTGGGGGTGATTTTTGCCATATGACGCTTCACAGAATTTTGGTTTATTTCAAAGGCAAAAGCCATGTCCCTAATCTGAAAAAATAAGGAAAATGTCAGTTGGTGAAGATTGTATAATGTATATAATCGACATACGGTTCAAAGAGGCTGATTAATCGACAAACGAATATATAGCTACCTCAATCAAACTGCTTAAACCAACAGCCATCAGCTGTCCAGTACAAACTTCCTTTCCATTAAAAAATATAGAACTCTTGCCCAGATTCTTCAAAGTGAAGGAACCATCTTCCTCCAGTTTTATAATTGCCTACCAGAAATGATATTAATAATTATTCCCATGTACATCTGCAAGCAGTATAGGACCAAAAGAATCTAAAAAGGACATCTGACAAGCGAAGCAGGTATAATCAATATTTTTTTAGGACAAACATGTTCATATTCACAGGTGCCTAGCATAAACAAGAGTGCATGTAGGAAAATCGTTCCAAATAAAAGAACAAGCTCAAAAGGCTAATTAAGTTATCTAAAAACGGTAATTCTAAACGGAGCTAAAGGCATTTCCTACAAGTACGGCTCTCTGTATTTTAACTAAGGGTTTAGCTCAATAAGATAAAAACTCAATTCAAATAATTTAACATAGAAGTGCAAGTGTGTCACCAAATGTAATCCATCCATTCTAGGGGCCTCCCACTTCACTAGTAATAGTAACTTGTTCATATATTTATAGGTAAGTACTAATAAGAAGCATATCTGCAACTAATAATTCAAATATTTCAATTGAGTGACTACAAAACTTCGTCAAGGTGGTGAGATACCTTCCCCTTAAGGGTAGGAATGCAGACTCGAGGGTCAAAGTTCCCCCATCGTCTATACACTGTCCATAAGCCAAACTCAGAAAAAATGCAACCACGTCAGGGAAATCAAAGTACCTGTAGTCTAGATATTTTGTTAGCACGCCCTTCTCTTCCTAAGTCAATATCAACATCAACATCTGTTAAAAGTCAACACCGAATGTGCAAGTGGAGATTGTTGATTTAAGTAACATGGGCAGCTGGCTGATTTAAGCAACATGGGCGGCTATTTTTGGTCCAAAATGGCTGCAAGTTGTTGAAAATTAGCAAGGGTAAAATACCCAATTTAGTCACTTTAATTTTAGGGTATTTACAAGATTAGTCATTAAGTTTCAACTATAAATACCCTAGCTCATTTAGCTTCAAAATCATCCCAAAGCATTCTAGCTTTCTTCCAATACTAGAGAATTTAGAGAGTTTCTTGAGAGTTGTTTTCTCCTTTTTATCAAGAGACAATTATCATTGTTTTCTTCTTGGTAGATCGAGAGAAGTTGTAATTCCTATTTTCTCATAGTGAAATTCTTCTACTGTTGCCCGTGGTTTTTACCCTATATTATTTAGGGGTTTTCCACGTAAATTTTGTGTCTCTTTTATCTTCATTTTTATTTTATCAAATTATCAGTTGCGATTTTGCTCTATCCGATAGCCGTCTTCCGCAACAATTGGTATCCGAGCCAGATTTGAGTGTGTAATATCTGCTTATTGTCTTTGTGGTTGCCACCAAAAGGTGGATCCTCCAACATAAGAAAATAAGAAGGTATTACCCATTCTTTGAGGTTCTAGAGAACTATTCACGATAGTGAAATAGTTGGAGCTATCAATAATAGAAGCTATGGCAACAAAATTTGACATTGAAAAGTTCAATGGGAGAAATTTCTCATTGTGGAAATTGAAGATGAAGGCCATCCTCAGGAAAGATGGGTGTCTAGTTGCTATCAATGAAAGGCTGGTGGATTTCGCAGATGACATCAAATGGAACGAGATGGACGGGAATGCTATGGAAAACTTTCATCTAGCATTAGCAGATGAAGTATTGTCAAGCATCGAGGAGAAGAAGACAGCTAAGGAGATATGGGATCATCTCACCAAATTGTACGAGGCCACATCGCTGCACAATAAAATTTTCCTTAAGAGGAAATTGTACACTCTCCGTATGCCAGAATATACTTCGGTGACGGAGCACTTAAATACACTGAACACCTTATTTTCTCAGCTTACATCCTTAAGCTGTAAAATAGGAGAACAAGAACGTGCTGAACTTCTACTTCAAAGTCTACCGGATTCGTATGATCAACTCATCATCAACTTGACAAACAGTAATGTCACTAGTCTAGTCTTCGATGACGTTGCAGTTGCTGTTCTACAAGAAGAAAATCGGCGCAAGAACAAGGAAGACAGACAAGTAAATCTGAAACAAACAGAAGCGTTGACAACGATGAGAGGGAGATCAACAGAACGTAGCCAAAGCAGCAGTCACAAACATGGTAGATCGAAGTCAATAAGAAAAAAGAATTTAAAGTGCTACCACTGTGGAAAGAAGGGTCACTTGAAGAAGGATTATTGGAGTCTAAATAAAAACTCCAATCCACAAGGCAATACCGCAAACACTTCAGATGATGGAGATGCTCTATGCTGTGAAGCGTCAACCACCGTGGAAGGTGGAAAACGATTTCCAGATATATGGCTCATTGATTCGGGAGCAACATATCACATGACCTCAAGAAGAGAATGGTTCCATCAGTATGAACCTGTCTCAGGAGGATCTGTGTATAGTTGCAATGATCATGTCTTAGAGATCATTGGCGTGGGAACCATCAAATTGAAGATGTACGATGGAACAATCAAAGTTGTTCGAGATGTGTGGCACGTGAAAGGCCTGAAGAAAAATTTATTATCCTACGGATTGTTGGATAATAATGCAAGCAAGATTGAAACACGGAAATGAATCATGAAGGTGTTCTGTGGAGCGCTTGTGGTGCTGAAAGACGAAAAAATAGCTGCAAACTTGTACATGCTGAAGGGAGAGACTTTGGTAGAAGCAGAAGCCTCTGTTGCCTCATGTAGTTCAGATTCGACAATGCTATGGCATCAGAAACTTGGACACATGTCAGAGCAAGGAATGAAAGTCCTTGTGGAGCAAAAGCTACTTCCAGGCTTAACAAAGGTATCACTTCCTTTGTGTGAGCATTGCATAACAAGTAACCAGCACCGGTTGAAATTCAACACATCAAATTCTAGAGGCAAAAGTGTTCTAGAATTGGTTCACTCTGACGTATGGCAATCACCAGTAACATCCCTAGGCGGAGCAAAATACTTTGTCTCATTTATTGATGACTACTCCAGGAGATGTTGGGTGTACTCTATTAAGAAGAAGTCAGATGTATTTTCTACTTTCAAAAACTTCAAAGCGCGGGTGGAACTTGATTCTGGAAATAAGATCAAGTGTTTCAGAATAGATAATGGAGGAGAATACACAAGCGAAGAATTTGATGACTTTTGCAGGAAAGAAGGCATCAAAAGACAGTTCACAGTGGCAAACACCCCTCAACAAAATGGAGTGGCAGAGCGGATGAACAGAACCTTGTTAGAAAGAACAAGAGCAATGTTGAGGGATGCAGGCCTAGAAAAATCATTCTGGGCAGAAGCAGTAAATACCGCCTGTTATTTGGTGAATCGAGCTCCATCAACTGCAATAGAGCTGAAGACAACAATGAAGACGTGGACTGGTAAACCAGCTGATTATTCAAACCTCCATGTATTTGGAAGTATTGTGTACGTGATGTACAACTCCCAAGAAATTTCAAAGCTGGATCCAAAATCCAGGAAATGCAAATTCTTGGGGTATACTGATGGAGTCAAGGGGTATCGCTTGTGGGATCCCACTGTCCGCAAAGTGATCATCAGCAGGGATGTTATCTTTGTAGAAGATAAACTACAAAGAAAAGAAGACAATGATAGCACTGAAAAGTCAGAGACTACACAGATACATGTGGAAAAGGAGGTTGAACAAGGAGATTCTTCTGAAGCAGAACCAGCACATGATGAACAAGAACTAGAGAGTTCTGAAGCTCCAACAACTCGTCAATCAGATCATGTGAAAAGGCGTCCCAATTGGCATTCAGATTATGTTATAGAAGGTAATATTGCATACTGCCTTTTAACAGAGGACGGTGAGCCATCAACATACCAGGAGGCAATAAACAACTCAGATGCTTCACTGTGGATGATGGCGTTGCAAGAAGAAATCGAAGCCCTTCATAAAAATAATACATGGGATCTTGTGCCACTACCACAAAGAAAGGAAGTCAATTGGTAACAAATAGGTCTTCAAAATCAAGCGAAATGGTGACGATCAAGTTGAGAGGTATCGTGCAAGATTGGTGGTCAAAGGATATGCTCAAAAAGAATGTATTGATTTTAATGAAATATTTTCTCCTGTGGTTCAACTAACAACAGTTCGAGTAGTTTTGGCAATGTGTGCTACATTGAACTTAGATATAGAGCAGCTAGATGTTAAAACAGCTTTTCTTCAAGGAAATCTTGAAGAAGAGATTTACATGCTCCAACCTGAAGGTTTTGAAGAAAAAAAAAAGAAGAACTTGGTTTGCAGGTTGAACAAATCTCTGTATGGTCTAAAGCATGCACCGAGGTGTTGGTATAAGAGATTTGATTTCTTCATTATGTGCCTTGGATACAACAGACTTAATGCAGACCCTTGTGCTTATTTCAAGAGGTCTGGTGATAACAATTTTGTTATATTACTGTTGTATGTGGATGACATGTTGGTTGCAGGACCCAACAAAGATCATATTGAAGAATTGAAGGCACAACTGGCTAGGGAATTTGAAATGAAGGACTTGGGATCAGCAAACAAGATTCTAGGGATGCAAATTCACCGAGACAGAAGTAATAGAAAGATTTGGCTTTCACAAAAGAATTACTTCAAGAAGATCTTGTCACAATTCAGCATGCAAGATTGTAAGCCAATTTCTACCCCTCTTCATATTAACTTCAAATTATCCTCCAGTATGAGTCCTAGCAATGAAGAAGAGAGGATGAAGATGTCTCGAGTACCGTATGCATCAGCAGTGGGAAATTTAATGTTCACTATGATATGCACAAGACCAAATATTGCACAAGCAGTGGGAGTGGTTAGTCGGTACATGGCGAATCCAGGAAAAGAGCATTGGAATACAGTAAAGAGGATCCTGAGATACATCAAAGGGACCTCAAATGTTGCATTATGTTACGGAGGATCAAACTTACTAATCAATGGGTATGTAGATTCTGACTATGCAGGGGATTTGGATAAAAGCAAATCTACTACAGGATATGTGTTCAAAGTTGCTGGTGGAGCTGTAAGCTAGGTTTCAAAATTGCAGTCAGTTGTGGCTACATCCACAACAGAGACAGAATATGTAGCAGCTACACAAGCCAGTAAAGAAGCAATTTGGTTGAAGATACTATTGGAGGAGCTTGGGCACAATCAATAGTATGTCTCTCTGTTTTGTGACAGTCAAAGTGCCTTGCATCTAGCAAGGAATCCAGCATTTCATTCAAGGACAAAGCCCATACGGGTTCAGTACCATTTCATTCGTGAAAAGGTGGAAGAAGGAACGATAGATATGCAGAAGATCCATACCAAAGACAACATAGCAGATTTCATGACAAATGCAATCAATGTTGATAAATTTACCTGGTGTCATTCCTCTTGTGGCCTGACGGAAACATAAGCAACATGATGGTACAAGGTAGAAAGAATGATGTGAAGATATGATTGTTCCAATCAAATCTTCAAGTGGGAGATTGTTAAAAGTCAACACCGAATGTGCAAGTGGAGATTGTTGATTTAAGCAACATGGGCAGCTGGCTGATTTAAGCAACATGGGTGGCTATATTTGGTCCAAAATGGCTGCAAGTTATTGAAATTAGCAAGGGTAAAATACCCAATTTAGTCACTTTAATTTTAGGGTATTTACAAGATTAGTCATTAAGTTTCAACTATAAATACCCTAGCTCATTTAGCTTCAAAATCATCCCAAAGCATTCTAGCTTTCTTCCAATACTAGAGAATTTAGAGAGTTTCTTGAGAGTTGTTTTCTCCTTTTTATCAAGAGACAATTATTATTGTTTTCTTCTTGGTAGATCGAGAGAAGTTGTAATTCCTATTTTCTCATAGTGAAATTCTTCTACCGTTGCCCGTGGTTTTTACCCTATATTATTTAGGGGTTTTCCACGTAAATTTTGTCTCTCTTTTATCTTCATTTTTATTTTATCAAATTATCAGTTGCGATTTTGCTCTATCCGATAGCCGTCTTCCGCAACAACATCAACATCAACATCCTTGTTTTCCCTGCCAAGTATAACCTGAAAAATAGGGAGCGCTTGCACTAAAAACATGAGAGCAATCTTTTGCGTCACAGGTCAAGGAATCCATGACTAACCAGGAAATATGAACAATAAGACATATATTCTCAACACCTCAACCTATAATTTTAATATTGTGCAAACTGCACCTTTGTAATATAGAAAGAAAAACACACACAAGCACCACTCATCTAACCAAATGCCTGAGCAACAAAAACAAGGGTAAAAGTAAAAAAAGGGAAGGTATTGAGAAGATTAAAGTCCATAAGTAGCATTCCTGACTATAGCATGAAAATTTCTAGAAAAGAGAAAGGAATGGGTAGATTTTCAGCATACTGCATACAATCTAAAATCAAGAATGGATAAAATTTAGTACCTCAGTTTCTTTAACGTAATGTTTCATATAAATGCCATATATGACAGCAAGATCTTCGTGGGATGCAATAGCTCTTTGCATAGCAGATCGAGCACCTTGTTCCAACCTAATGATTGTCCTCTTAGAATGCTCAGCTTGATATCTCGAGACTAGAAATTTCGAGAAAACAAAATCAACATGTGCAAACATTGATAAAGTCAACAGTACATAGATTTTATTCCCACTCAGCTCATACCGATTGGTTCAACCATAACTTGACCATTGTTAGTGCAAATTGAACTTCATACCTTCTCTCCTAATTAAAGAATCAAATTCTTTTGGACATAAATTCATCTCAAGTATCTGAAGTGAACATCAAATGATTGTTCTTTAAACACCCAGTATAATAAAAGCCGGTGACAACATAAATGAATAAGTTCTCATAATTAACATAATTGTCAAGATTTACCATGGCTTCAATATCAGAAAAGCTGGGAACATCATCATCACTTTCATATTCTATCTGATCAGATGTTTTGTTTGCTTCTGGTTCCAAAACAGTATCTACAATGGAACTTGCTTCTGCATATGTAGAAATATCTCTGGTACAACATTCATCAGATGGCTCTTCCTTTGCTGCACCATCTGAAGCAGAATTGGGAAATGTGTGGGCTGCTTTGAAATTATACGGATCAACTGTAATGAACTAGATTTTTCCGGTAGTGAAAGAATTAAATTCTTTTAACCAAAGCAAAATTGCATCTTACACAAGAGGGTACATAGGCTTTTTATACACATGAATTAGAGACCTATATAAAATACGAGTCATCTTTTCTACAAATTAAGAAGTAGTTTTAGAGGTAAATTAGGATGAAGAGTTTAACTTAAACACTACTTACACTTCCCCTCAAGCTGGGGAGTAAATATTGTAAAGACCTAGCTTGGATGTAATTTCGTCAAAGGAAATCCTTGGAAGTGTCTTGGTCAATACATCAGCTAGCTGGTTTTGTGAAGAGACATAGTTTAGTTTCACAGTTCCGCCATTTACTTTTTCTGCAATAAAGTGTCTGTAGATCTTGTTCTGTAGTGGTGCACCAGATTCTTTGCAATGCTTATCGCAGATTTGCTGTCACTTTGAAGTTCAAAATAGTTATTGTTGCACATCTCTAGTTTGGTTAAGAGTCTTTGTAGCCAAATTCCTTCACACATCCTGAGTGCTATGGCCCTATATTCTGCTTCTACACTGCTCTTGGAGATTACTGATTGTTTCTTGCTCCTCCATTTCACTAGGTTTCCCTATACAAATAAGCAATATCCTGTGGTTGACCTTCTATCTGTTAATTCTCCAGCCCAGCTTGAATATGAGAATATTTTAACTATTTTGTCTTCATGTTTTTTGAAAATCAACCCATGTCCTGGTGTCATCTTAAGATTCGATTGACTGCCTCCAGATGTTTTTCTCTCGGATCACAGACATATTATCAGAGAGATATTGTTGTTTTCGACGACTGGTGATGAACAGGCGCACCGATTGAGATCAAGCAATGTAATTCTCATCATTGAGACAATGACAAGTAATGGACGAGCAAATCGAGTCAGAAGGAGACGGCTGGATAATGGAGTTTTCAGCCTCGGTGAAGAAAGATACGCTATAACTGTCGAGAAGAGGAATTAAAGGTTGTGTTATGGGGAGACCGGGCTGGCCGAACAGTGACCAAACAACAAAACAGGAAGGGCTACCATTGTGATGAGGGTAGCGCTGGACCAGCGGCGTGACAGAATCGACACTGTGAGGAGAGCGGTACTGGGAGAAGAGCAACGCTGTGTTGCGCAGCAAAGAGACGATTCTGCGACGGAAAACAACGCTGCAAGGGATTTGGTGTTGTGATGGGTACAGCGTATGATCGGATATTCAAAATTGGGAGGACGACAATGTGCTGAAAGCACATTACTGATCAGAGGAATAACAAACGGCGACGACAGCAAGGTTGGGATCGACGCTGCGAGGTATTTGGTGTTGTGATGGGTACGTAATCTTTTTATACACATGAATTAAAAACCTAGATAAAATAGGAATCATCTTTTCTATAAATTAAGAAGTAGTTTTAAAGATAAATTAGGATGAATTAACTTAAACACAACTTACATCAACTAGGGAATTTTGAGACTGTCGGGAAATCACATGACATTGAGCATCATGAAACTCGGATTTGACACCTTGACTAGATTCTGAAAGAATGTCCAGTCCAACCATCTTGGGAGCTGTAAAACATTGAGAAAGAATATCCTCTGTCTGTATCAAGCTCGGTTCTTCTTTACTATCCTTTTGGTTTGCAAAGGATGAGGCTTGGTCACTACTCAAGTGATGACACTCTTTCCTAGCTAAAGCTTTGCCTAAGACAACATCATCATTGCATGGGATCTCAGGATCCTAACTGTTCAACATGCAGCAAGTCACTTCATGAGGTTCAGGAGAATGGTGATTTGACAAAGATGCAGATGAAGGCAAAGTGATTTTCCGATTTTCAAAATGTTACTGTTCATCATGCTTAGAATGTGACTATTGGTCTGGGACTTCTTCCAATTTTGCAGGAAAAGTAGCTTCGGAATACCAGGACACACGTCTGAAACTAATGTCTCAGGATCTTTAGTCTTTGATGTATCATCTTCATGAACATCATTAGGAGAATTCAGCAAAAGTAAATTAACACTCTCATAACAAGATTTATCAATTGTATCACCGTCAAAGTTTAATAAAGCATCTGTTTCAGCTAAATCATCGCAAGAGATAGCAACAGAATTATTAATTTCATAGCCATCTTTTAACATCATATCTTAAGGAACAATATCATATCCCGATTGACACATTTTCTTACTATCCAAATCTTCAGGATGCACAATCTCCCCTCTTACATGTTGGCCTTTATCTTCAAGGCCATCATTAACTGGCATCACGGCCGCTGGAACATCTTCCATTGTTTTCCTCAGAGGCATATCTGGTTGTGGTGACGAACATCCAGCCGAGTAAGGTTTGATTTCCTCAACCCTAGATGGATGACCAAATTTATCTGATGCCTCGAAAATGGCATGACGAGACCCCCCAGATATATCATTCTGTTATAGATTCTCCACTTTTTCACCTAAGCAATCCTTCTTAGAAGTTACTTTCAAATCATCCTCTGGTGATCGTTTACCTACATTACCAATCCCTAAATCACCGAATCCTAATCGGTTTTTAACAGTCTTCACGGAGTCCAACAAGCTCATCATAACCACCTATATTTTGGATGCAATTATTACCATTAGGTGATCCAAGAAAACAAACACCACTCAAGTTTGTCACATGGTGGTTACAGGTCCTCTTCCTCGTAGCATAATACGAGCTTCTAATGCTTTCAAATTTCCTTTTAGCACTGACGTTTCAACAGAATTATCAAATTTATTCAATGTAGAAGATAAATTAGAAGCAGATAATTCAACCTCAATCATACAGGCTGCTGCTTGATCTGAAATAACAGGATCATAAGGTAAAGCACGCCATCGATCTTGCAATTCTCTAACCGTAAACTTCCGTGAAAATTGAACCGCACCTTTAGCTAGTGCTTCCAATGAAGCACTGGTCTGTAATGACCAAATTTAAATGATCACTTAAAAATGAAGAAAATCATAAACATTCCACTAAACTTAGGGTTTTACCTTCTACGGTTCTATTCTTTTCGGTCAGATAAATGGAAAAGATTCCCTTCAGGCTGTAAAATTGAGTACAAAGAAGAAGAAAGAGGTTACCTCAATGACGTTCTTCAGCAAGAGATCGTCTTCAGGGATCCAAGAAGAAGAAACTGAAGCAGGCAGTGCTGACATGGAACTTGAATATTTTTCCTTTTTATATATATATAACGAAATGCAGATGTAGGATTTACAAAAATGAAAATGATTCTAGATAAGATGAAAAAGAAGTAAATATTTAATGGTTACTAAGTTAGGGGAATCGACAACGCTTAACCAAGGTTGCAAGGTCGATCTTAGTGATCTTACAACTTGTGATACTTGTCTCTGTGTTTGAAACGATGTTCATTTTAGGTTCTTCTCTGTTGATGGTAATTAATAGATCTCGCGATATTGATTAATTGTTTTGATTTCATTGTTCTTTATGTTGCTGGGAATGTTAATGAATTTGGACATGAAAGTAATGGTGTTGTTACGTGTGCTTTTACTTAACTTTAAATAAAAATATGGTTCGAATAATAAACATTCAACTCTTGTTTTTGGCTTAATTGATGTTGGTGGTGTTGTTTTTGTTACATTTAGTTTTCTGGGGTTTTACTTATGGTATGAAAAATGATTTGGAAAGAAATGAAACAATAACTTCAGTCGTAATTCTAGAGGAGTAAGGGTCTGGTGCTTTCTTGGCTAGGGGTCGTTGTACCATGTAGAGAATAGTTACATGAAGTCTATGATCAGCACTACCATTTCGGGGATGATGAGGAGACTTTATCAAGAAGAAGAATAAGATATATAGATAAATAGCATGAAACTTTTAAGATATAAAGTTGTATAAGCTTTGCCAGGAACCAAATGGATGGATGGATGGATAGATAGATAGATAGTTTTAAATGAAGCCGTATAAGCTTTGTCAGTATTCGAATGCATGGAACTTTTGGATCCATTTTGTTGAATTCGAATAAGTTGAAACGTGATGGGGAAAAATAACAGGATGGAAGGAGATCATATTAGAATTTTGGTTCAGAAGAGAACCACACAATGCTATTTAGATCGTCTGTAGTTTCAAAGACACATTTCATTTTGTCACTCTACCATTTTCTCCCCAACTTTGTGATGATATGTAATTTTTAATTATTTTTAACTAATTAATATTTTATTAATATTACTTTTGAAATTTTTTATTATCCATGTTCGTTCTTAACCTTTCTTTTCTTATTCCTCATCCTCGTCAGACTTCATTAACTCCATTTCTCCTTCCCCGCTTCGTCGTTACCTTTTATTTCTGATTGGTGGTTTAACAATGAGCTATTTCTATGGTTATCAGCTCTCATTTATTGATCACTTGAATATGTTTGGAAAGTAACAAACTCAAGCTCACAACACCTACATTTTAATGGCCTCTCGTTGACATCTAATATCTCAAGACTTAATTGGACATTTCTCATTCTATCATATACATGAGTATGCAATGTTCGATGAAAAAGAAATATTATGATTAATCAACCCAAAAAGAACTGACAAGCGTCGTAAATTGTCAAATAAATAATCCTTAATCTAAAAAATAAATTCACTTATCTCGCGAACCCATCGAGTGGGTTCACTGGAAGGGTGAAACTGTTGAGAGTTGGCAGCCATTGTAGAAATTAAATTTTTCGTTGCATTCGAGGTCATATTAACCATAGCCCCTTCACTAGCTCCATTGACCATCTTTATTTCCAAAGTGTCAGTCCGTTCAATTCATCTGTGTTCTGTACATCTAGCACAAACCTTGTTGAATCGTTCTCATTAAACGTTCTGAATATGAATAGAGCTTACCTTGTAAAGCAAACCAGCTGAGCATCAATTAATGGTAGAATCCTGGAAGAACAACTCTGATAGCGCATTTGAGCCAAAGGAAGAAAGGGGCATCTAGATCATATTACTGACCACAGCAAGAAATGAAGCATTTCTTCTGAGACTTTAACGCAGATAAAAGGCAAAGAAGACGCAAAGACATGATAATTGGGCAGATCTTCAGAAGTTGCAAGCTGCTACACCAATATTTGAGTAAACCATAGAGGAGAATGGTCAAGAGGAAGAAGTCCTAGTTCTCCACTTTAGAATTAAATGAAAATTGAATCAACATTTGAGCATGCATGAGAACATCATCTTCATGAAAGAAAATGCATTACATTGCATTCGCATTTTACACATAAACATATGGTTTTTACATATCTTCCAAGGAAAAGAGAAGATTCGTGATATCGAAATCCCAACAAGTGGAAGCTAGAATTCAAACCTCAAATATATAGAATCACATTTAGAGAGGCAGACTCCCATATTCGATGGTTGCGAGACAAATTTGCACAAGAAAAATCGATTTTCGAAGATTATCTTGAAATCCAAACCATCAAGTATGATCATTCAAAATTTCAAACATATACTAACAATTGGTAATGTTTAATTTGCAGATCTGATATTCCCTTCAGAATAAGCAAAACATGTCTCTCTTTTCCAAGATTTGATATTCCCTAAGTGACAGTGGAATAAGTCTGCCCCAATTCAATCTTCCTTGAGTGACAGCGGAATGGATCAACTCCTCCAGATCTGATATTTCCTTCAGAAAAAGTGGAATAGGTCCCTCTTTCAAGATTTGATATTCCCCGAGTGACAGCGGAATGGATCAACTCCCTCAGATCTGATATTCCCTTCAGAAGAAGTGGAACATGTCCTTTTTTCCAAGATTTGATATTCCCTGAGTGACAGCAGAACAAGTCTGCCTCGATTCAATCTTCCCTGAGTGACAGCGGAATGGATCAACTCCCTCATATCTGATATTCCCTTCAGAAGAAGCGAAATATGTCCCTCTTTTCCAATATTTGATATTCCTTTTAGAAGAAGCGAAACAAGTCATATCTTTCAAGATTTGATATTCCCTAAGTGACAGCGGAACAAGTCTGCCCCGATTCAATCTTCCTTGAGTGACAGCGGAATGGATCAACTCCCCCAGATCTGATATTCCCTTCAGAAGAAGTGGAACATGTCCCTCTTTTTCAATATTTGATATTCACTAAGTGACAGCAGAACCCCTATTCAATCTTCCATGATTGAAAACAGAATGGATCAATTCCCCAAGATCTTATATTCCCTTCAGAAGAAGCAAAATAGGTCACTCTTTTCCAAGATTTGATATTTCATGAGTGCAGCGGAGCAAGTCTGCCCCGATTCAATCTTCCCTGAGTGATAGCGGAATGGATCAAATCCTCCAGATCTGATATTCCCTTCAGAAGAAGTGGAACATGTCCCTCTTTTAAGGTTTGATATTACCTGAGTGACATCGGAACAAGTATGCCCCGATTTAATCTTCTCTAAGTGACAGCGGAATGGATCAACTCCGCCATATATGATATTCCCTTCAAAAGAAAATAAACATGTCTCTTTTTTCCAAGATTTGATATTCCCTAAGTGACAGCAGAACAAGTCTGCCCCGATTCAATCTTCTCTGAGTGACAATGAAATGGATCAACTCCTCCAGATCTGATATTCCCTTCATAAGAAGCGGAATATGTCCCTCTTTTCCAAGATTTGATATTTCCTGAGTGACAGCGAACAAGTCTGCCCCGATTCAATCTTCCCTAAGTGACAGCGAAATGGATCAACTCTCCCAGATCTGATATTCTCTTTAGAAGAAGCAAAAATGTCCCTTTGTTCCAAGATTTGATATTCCTTGAATGACAGCGGAACAAGTCTGCCCTGATTCAATCTTCCCTGAGTGACAGCGAAATGGATCAACATCCCCAGATTTGATATTCCCTGAGTGACAGCGGAACAGATCCTTCATCATATTTCAAACCATGAAGTAGATCGAACAAAAAAAATGTCTATTCGTCTTTGCCTTATTCTTGTTAACACAAGAATGGGCAAATAGGAGCAGTTGTCGACACTCGTTTTTCGTCCCATTTAATATTAACAATTTTATTATTATATTATTATTATTTCTAATTAATATTATTGTTTTATTTTTCTTAACAGATCCAAATTACAACAAACATGTCCAATCATGCCCCAAAACAACAACCCAACTACCAAACAAGCCTGGCCCAATTTTGAGGCCCAAGTACAAAAATAATCCGAAGCCAAAACCACGATTCAACCCAACTCGAGACCCGTTTGGGGCCCAAACCCATTAGGGTTTTTCATTTTCCAACAGTCGCCAATAGCTCCCAGCCATTGGATCTAGGAGAGAACCAACGCCCCAGATCATCCATCAGTTAGGGTTTTCTCTTCAGCAACCGCCGCCTCTCGTATCAGTCATCCAATTTGGACCCATCCAACGGTCCAGATCGAGCCTCAAATCCACTACCCGTTTCACCCAATCCCAGGTTGCCTCTCTATTGTAACAACCCCGGCCATCGTTGCAGCTGCCAACCCGAAGGCATGCCATGTCAGAACCAGATCAACACACAATCTAAAATCCACACGCAAACTTTCTTTTGTAATGATTTCATCCGAAAAAAAAAGGTAAAAATATGTAAGATTCGGGGTTTATAATAACCTAAACCATAATGTAATAGAGGTGGGACCCTTCGATTTCGGAAAGCAATAAAAATCAGAAAAAGTTGAAGGTATATATTTTTGTGTCACTTTTTTTCTCAGTTTCGAATCAAATAAAATAAAAACTTTTTTCTATTTCGAATCTATGCATGCAACCAAAACCGAGAGTCTAAGAGAGAAAATAGTTTACCCGAGTCAGAGGGGGTCCTCGTGACGATTGGAGGTCCAAAATTCGAACAGTTGGAGCTCGATTTGGGGTTGTTTATAGTCGTTTATATGGTTTTTAGGCAGGGAGAAGTGTCTAGGGTGATAGATCTAGGTTAAGGAAGCATTTTGGGAGAGTTTGAGGTTTTATGCCACCGTGTACAGTGACCAGTGCGTAGGCCAGACGGTGACCAATGGTGGTTCAGGGCGACCGACAGTAGGCCGGCCGAAGTTATCGAGAAAAAATAAAAAAAAGAGGTTTTTTAAAGCCATGGTTGAAATGAAAAATAAAAGGTTTTAAGTGGCATATATAGGGGTAAGTTAGGAGAAAATACCACTTCGTTCCCCTTAACTTACGCTCGTTTTTACAGAACAGTTACCGAGGGACCATTTTTGTTATTTTCCCACTTTATATTCATGCTTTAAGTTTTTGGCCTAATCATAGTTTAGTCCTCGTACTTTTAGCGCGTTTTGCATGTTAATCCTGTAA